GGAGGGTACCTATCTCCAATGAAGGATGATAGGTGAGGATGAAGTTAAGTCACTCGGTTCATCGTAATAAATCTACAAAAAATTAAACACGATGGCTTCCAGAGGCTTTATTAAGCTATTTTGTATAAATTATAATGAGATTTATTTTATGTAATCTGTCGAGTTAAATGGGCTTATCACGTTAAGGGCGTAATATTAATAAAGTAAGACAACATTTGATGGGCGAGTATAACTCGCATATGAATCGTACTATTCGTGTAAAGCATGTTATTGACTATATTGGTCGACCTCTCTGTTCCCGGTCTGTGTGATAAGGTTTTGTACTTTTGATTACTTAGCAACTTTTGAAACATCCTGTATGTTGTATATGTAAGCAGTAGGTGCCGAACGGAACCCAACACCCGGGGCGGTCGCCTACAAGGCGCCTTGTGAGGAAACGCTATTACGCCCTCCCAAGTTCACTGCCCTTCCCACTTATCACTCCTATACTGTGTAAGTACAGTATTTATTTATTGCAAAATTTGATTTCCTAACTTTTTATTATATATCAAAAACAGAAGTATTTTTATCATTATATTATTATATACCTATTGGTATACTAAACTGGTAAATAGAGTTTTAATCAAACAACTAAAAAATAAAATAATAAATCAAACACCTATAAAGTTATTTCTATAATAAAATGTCTGCCCAATATTGCTAAAAACTTTTATTTGACAGTTTTTGACACTTGTAGCTTCTATTGATTTATAAAATGATTACTACTTGTGGCATTTAAATCGTCTTATGAATAATGGAAACATAAATTTGAAAAATGTAGATGGCCGGATGAGAAAACTTGTTTCACATTCAAACAAGACATCTTCAGATAAATTAATATATCGCTGCTCGGATCCTAGTGTTAACCGTTCGGTACCCAAACTGCGAAATCTAGTTTAGATGTGAAATCGCAAAATGTGTGTAAACGAAATCGCAGTCGGAGTTTGAGGGCTAATATAGAAGGTTGTAAAACTTTTGGTAGTAATAATGGTGGTCAGTCTTCCGCTACAGTTAGCAAATGTGTGACTGTCAAAGTCACATATTTACTGTCGGTAGCGGAATTAAACAAAATGATCTAATTAAACAACCAGTGACATGGACTTCTGCAGGATGTAAATAGAATCCTATTTCCGTCTGCGGTATTGGCATGTGCCGGCGGGGCACCAGTGAGTTATGATAGGCAAAGACAAAATCAAATCAGCCTATCGTGATGAATTTACCGAGAATTAAATATGATAGTTTCCAGGAAGATCCTGCTATTAAGTACAGGATATTTATTATTACTCAGAGTAAAGCTAATGTGGATAATTTTTAAAAAAGGAATAACGATTTTATGATCGGTTTCTTCTTTCTTTAATGATATTCGTAATAAAATGTACAATTTTTATATATCTTATTAACGTTTACTTTAACGGTCTAACCCTTCTTCAATTGGATTTTTAGATCGGGTAATGCTTTCAATTGGTAAAAACGATTTTTGATATATAATTAGACGGCCACTTCCAGGTAAAATATATACTCTATATACCCTAGCAATATCCGTGTAATTTAACAAATTAAATACGGATCGTCTAAGCGTAGGTAGTTTTCTCATTTTTCAAATTCTATAATATAAATAAATAGGGAGGAACGAGAAGACGTCAAGTTGAGCCCACGTGTTTCCTTGTGGAAACTATCGTGGTTAATTTGTAATGAATTCGGCACATTGGATCAATTGATTTGCCTTAATACATCGTCGATTCATTCTTCACTGGTGCCCTACCAATGTGTAGGTACTGTCAGCATAGACGGGTGCACCATTCCATCTTCAACCATTAGAAAACAAAAGAATAAATAGTTAAATTTTGTCTTCCAAATCATTTAAAATTTCGAATTGTGAATAATAAATGATTTTGCTGTATAGTAAGAAATTTTTAGTTCCTTATTGTTAGACTTCATAGCTATACATAATTGTGTAGTATAACCACAAAAATGTTTACATAAATTAAGAACCTAGGTTTACTGTTTGATGTTCAATAATTATTAAACAATTAAATAAATAAAATATATTAATAAAGACAATCTGTCTGTCTGTATATTTCTGTCATTATATAAGAACTACTATCAAATTGGATGCAATTTCCACAGTTGTATTCCTTAAAATCTGGTGTATGTTTACTCTTAATATACCATTTAGAAGTAGTCTATTACTAGTGATCTATTTAATTTGTTTTTGCAGTACAGGCATTATTTTATTTTCACCCATTAAAAATATTTTTTTAGCCAGTAATAAACTCTTTCACTAGTATAAACCTATGCTATCATTGAAGTTATATTTCTGAAGATGTTTTCGTTGTCCAAATATGGGTTCGCCCGGGTGAAGCGAGTGCGAGTAAAGGCTACTTTGATTAAAAAACAACAGTAGACATAAGGGTCCTTCGTCAATTTGTTAAAGAAAACTTCACAGTTTGGATCAAGAGAGATCAAAATAATTGAGTTACGGATAACTTTAGGTGAGTGTTTTAACAGCGTTCCACTAGGATCACATAATATTGTCCCAGTTGATTGAATGGATTACATTTTAATTTTCTCTTATCAAAAAGAAAATTAATTGTAAATCGTTTGTGATCCTTCTGTTCTGTTAGCAAATATTGTTTTTAGGATGTTGAAGTATTGATACAAATTTCGATTTATTCTAGTAATTGAAATGAAACTTTTTTCTTTTTTACGACTGTTGACTGTATTAGGAAGTAACAATTGGATATTGTCAATTATAAAATAAAAATAACTACACTGTTTGTCATACTGCTATATTCTAAATTGATTAGCGTAGTGATTACTTGCTCTGTGGTTATGTTATAGAGTAATTTAATAGAGCAGGTGATTTAAGAACAAATTTTACCATTTTTATCCATAAAAATAAAATACATACATTAAACCATAAATTATGAATACTCTATGGTCTTTCATAATAAACACAATATACTCGAATGATTATCTATTTCCTTTTTTGAAAAAATGTTTATCACGTACGTTGCAAGATAGGGCAGGATAGGAAGAAATTGCGAATGGGATAGACAATACGCAAGACAAGAAAATTGAACATTTTATACCATTTACTGTGCATTTTATCAAATAACTTTAAAAGTACGTTTATATAATTTATTGTATTATAATATTGTTCAATTTTACCGTTACGATATAATAGAATGTAAATACAACGAATTCCCACTAGATGGAGTGACGACTCGAATGCATTGCAGGGAGTCTGTGAATACAGGTGGTTCAGGACTGTCCTTTAGGGCAGTCTATGGGGGCAGCTTATGTTCAATACTAGACAGATGTGATGCTGATGAGATGTTGATATAATAGAGAGTAAAATGTATGCAATTTTATGATGATTTTCACGTATGTCTACGAATCTAATATGTCGTGTACGTTACGATATCATTATGGAAATTTAACAATTGGTTTTCTGTCGTATGGTGGCGCTATTAAGTTATACTGTGGTGAATTATAAAAGCATTACGTACGTACATAAAACGTTTTTATATTTCTGTGGTAATCCATGATATTATATATTGTACTATCAGCATTTAAAACGGTACGATGGAAAATTAAAAAGTGTGTACCTAAATTCTGCTCTCATACTGTATTATCGTGGATAAATTGTAGAAGCAATGACTTTGCATTATTTGATATTCTTTATTGTACACAAACATAATGATAAGAACAATTAATTTTAAATGTAATATGCAAAGACGAGCTTATCTCTTTGTATGTTTTTTTTGCGATGGTGTAAGATAATTATCAGCGGATATTGAGAGGCAGGTGTGAGTAAGGATAAAAATCACGCTCGAACGTCCAAGTTGGTTGGAAATATTCAACGCCTTAACGGACCATTTCCCAGATAACCACATTTTTCGCGAGATATTCATGTGAAAGCACATTATGTGGAGCTTACGGAATCGAAACCAGTGAAATACTACATACATATGTATAAATTTCTTCTAATATCTCTCAATAACATTGAGTTATATTAGAGAATAATATTTGAATATAGAGTTCCAAATTTAAAATTTATATTATAAATCCTCACTATTCTTACTAATATTATAAATGTAAAAATGCGTTTGAATTTATAGCACCTTAACGGCTCAACCAATAACTATGAAATTTAGTATATACTAAACGCTATTTATTACTCTAGTTAAGAAAAATATCCCGGTCACGCAGATAAAGTCACGGGTAATTAGTAAATAACAGATAAGTGATACAGTGTAGAAAACGGCATTTTCTAGTCGTTCACATAGTGGTTTCATGAAAAAAAAAAATTTAATAAAAAACGGACACAAATTTGTTGACAAAAGTTAAGGAAATTGTATCAATTTGGAGCAAAAAAAAATATTAACGACCCCGAATAAATCAGATATAAGTTTAGCATTTTCGACAAAAATACACGTAAGTCAGTTCGGTTATTGTTACAATCATTATTATTATTATTATTGTAAGTGTTAAATCGTTATATCTTCAAATGGTATTAAACAAATAGTCACTGCCACGTTTATAGCATTAGTAGGGACGTTAAATCACATAAACCTTTCATCAACGTCAAAAGAGATACCGAAAATAGGTACTTAACTCTTCCGTGTTGCATTAGATAAACATATACGGATTTTCTTACGATACGACGGTATAAATATATATACAGATAGTACGGATAAAGTATGTAACGTAATTCTTATATTTTTATGAATATACATATATATGGGCACTATTTCCAATGCAAATAAAAATTAGATAGTAGTTACATATGACAAAATACATAATCTAAAGACAAGTACTACGAAAAATTTGGTGGCAATTGTTTAAAACAAAGCACCGTAGATAGAATGATATTTCTTTTAATCTAAAATTATAATAATTTGATTGCGTAGATACACTAATAATAGAAATTAAAAATTACAGGTTGAATTACTTACATAGTTCGTTTTGGCACAAATCAAGCAAGTACTGGCCAGATATCTGAAAAAGAAAAATAAAGTAATTAATTTTATTTTCACCTGTTATTTATAAAAGAATATATATGATAATATTATAAAATTAAGTTACATTATATGAATATATTTATAGTTGAACCAATTGCTTCTCTTAGTTATCTATAAGTATATTTTTATATGTACATGTTCTATCCAACATATCCTAGACCTAATTCTTATGATGTCCAAATGCGCGTCAGATAGGTATTTTTATTATAACTGTCGTTTCCCCGTTTTGGTTTTGACAAAAATTGGGTTTCTATATTTTACGACCACGAATACTATTCTCAATTTATATATATTTTACAAAAATTAAAAGCAATGTATCACAGAGTAAGTAGGTATTTATAGATATTTACGTTATTCACCTTAATCTATAGTTATATAAACGTCGACATTGCTCTTAAATTGTCGAAACTGGATAATGAATTTATGTAATCATCTAAAAGTATTAACACAATAAAACAAATTAATATTTATAATATTTAAAACTATTTATGTCTTTATCCAAAATATTGACATCGATAGCTATTTTATAAGATCAAATTTTATTATGGCGTCATAATATTAAAATGAATGATTGGATAAAAATTTGATTATGGTTGCATACATTTTATACGTATTTTTTTGTTTGAAGTGGTGCAGACTTGAAAATTTCTTTATTCATTTGTGTTTATTACATAGCAATTGCAGGTAATTAGAGATGTTAGTATTATTTTCATAAATATATAATGTTTATATGTTGTTTTAAGGTCAATAACATACAGACATGAATAAGTACCTACTATAAAGCTAAATCTATTTCATATTAAGTGTTCATAAAGAATAAAATGGAAGAGCTTATCATTTTAATTATAAATGCTAGGTAATAATAGATTAATCTAAGAGTAAAATAATACCAGCGCAGCGTTGTCGAGTGTCGAGACGCGAACAATAATTCAATTAAGGCTTCCCTCCGTGTTGTTTAGAAGCTTTCCCTCTAAATAGTATTCGAATGAAACGTCTTAGTAAAGCCACAGATAATATAATACTGTACTAGTAGTAAAACGAACAATAAACGAAAGTACGAGTATTATGTGAAATTTATTAAGAAATAATATTTACAGTAGAGGCTGAATTAACCCGACTAATGATTCTGGTCGTATAATATTCAGGTAATCGTAAATCCGGATAATTGAATATATAAAGAAAGGTGATATTTGTACATTTTGTATCTCACACGCTTAAAATTAAATAGTCATGTACAGTGCGGTTTAAATGGAATTTTCTCCTGCGAACGCTCAGGCTGTGAAATGAGCTTCCTGTCGAGGTTTTCCTAGAGACTACTGTATGAGTTACTTTAAAAGGGTTATATATTAAGGTTTCTTCAGGGTCGGCAACGCGTATGTGACACCCGTAGTGTTGCAGGCGTCCATATGCTTCAGTGACTGTTTACCATCAGACAGGCTGTATGCTTGTTTGACTTACTTATTGAAACTTTTTTGTGGCCATAATGTAAATATAAGTCTGGCCACATATATATGTTGATATTATTTTTCTACACGGTTTTTGTTTCTGTTCCAATGGTTGTCTCGTCTTGTATCTACACGTATTATATATATTGTTGTTCTAAAGAATATTATTTTTCACATGACCCTCTACATTACTTAAGTATGAAACTAATACCAAAAAACTATATAAAGTAAACTCTGTCGATTGCAAAAAGAACTATTAAAATTGGTTAAATATTAACAACGTACTAGCGTACTAAGGTAATGTATAAAAATACACACAAATTAAAATCTTTTTCTTTTAGGAATCGCTTAAAAACAAATCAAGTTTTATACCAAACGATTAAGCGAAGTGGTAGTAGTAAACAAATACTTCAATCCAGTAGTGGGATATCAATGGGTTGTTACTGTAATAAATATAATGAATAAGTAAATCAGTACGTTTCGGTGAAAATATTCTTACAAAAATGTCTCTAAGTTTAAACAGAACATGAAAGGAAAGGGGAAATGGCGCTGACAATGTTTGATGTTTTCCCAATATGTAAGTAACAACATTTCCGAATATTTCTCCCATTTTAGAGACGAAATCCTTTGTGAGTTTTGTTCATAATTCTATTCTGTTACATGTTACGTAGGCACTTATTCAATTTCTTAAGTATACTATATATATATACACATTCGAGATATTTTTTTATAACATAAGCCTCCTCCTTTGGGGCGTTTTGCCATTAATTCCCATATTTGACAGGCGGATTGGCAACTGCAGTTAGGCTTTGGCGATGTTTTAACAGAGACGTTGCTGCTCCTCCCTTGATCATTAAGTTCTCTTAGTTTCCTTCTACACCCATGGGAATGGAAGGACATGTTCCATTTATACCATTAGAAATACGCATATACGTAGAAATAAATTAGTTGTTGTCTGTTGTGTATAGAAAGTGTTCTTATTTCGTCTAAAGTTCTGGATTAAAATATAATATTAAAAAAAATAAAGAATTCTCAAGTGAAAATTTCTTTCGCGCCAAAAATCACCGTCATGTTGTTTTAATAATATTATCTACACTAGCGCCACGAGTCGTTATTGTTCTGTTGTGTATAAAAAAAGTGTTCTTATTTATAGTTCTGGATTAAATATAAAATATAATATTAAAAAAAATAACAAATTCTAAAGTGAAAACTTCTTTCCCGCCAAAAGTTGCTGCCATGTTTTTAATACATCTACACTAGCGCCACAGAGTATCATTTGTGTTATTATCTGATAATAAACAAAGAGAATTTTATTCGAAGACTCCAGTAAAGATCTGTATATCTGATAGTTAACTTGATGTTAGTTGATAGTTCCTTGTATATGTATATACACACGAAGACGTTTACGACAGTTCCTAAAGAGTTCTGTAGTTTATACAACATCGTTATCGGCGCTTTGGTCGTAAATACGATGTTAACTTTCTTATATGTAGTATGAAACAACCTGTAATAATGATAAGTACATAATATTGTTGGTTTTGGTAGTTGACATTTAATATATAATATTATTAATATGAAAGTGAGTTTGTTTGTTTTAATGGATCTACCAATCATCACGGAAATTGGCTTACACGGATGGATAAAGTCAAAGGCTACTTTCATTTTAATAAATCAATATATCCCGGTCACGTGAATGCAATCGCATGTAAAGATTATTTAATGTTATATAACTATTCTTTAGTTCACTAAACGGTTGTTCTGTTATTATACTATATGAATTGTTTTTTTTTAAATCATCTTTGTAATATTATTCGTAAAGAATAACTAATCCGAAATCCAATGATAGAATTAATAAAGCTTAACAATTTTCCCCAAAAGAATATTTGAAATACCTTAGAAAAAGATTTTTTAAACTTTGAAAGTAATTCCTGTAATTGATTACGGTACTTTTTACCAAGTGAGGGCGTAGATAGAGAATAAAACCTGCGGGCCTAATGTAAGAATATTCTAATTACCTATATGATGTTGTTATAATATCAAAGTGAGTAAAAAAAAAATTTAAATAGTGATTTTAAGGAATTGTACACACAGAGTCGTGAAAGATTATATAAACTTATACTGTATAATACTAGTACTCTATATGTATAAACCGTCGATTTTATGCATTAGATTTCTGCGTGGTGACTGAAATATAGGGATTTGTTTTGTATAAAGAGGTGGACGCGCGTTTCTGTGCTCTGTTTCCTCCTATAGAATCCACAATCTCGCGGACATCTTACCCTTTGCATAGCCCGAAGGCTTTCTAGGAAATGTCATGCATACTTGACAGGCTTATTTGTAGTATATATAACTATAAAATATATTAAATGGGGGGGGGGGGGGGGAATTGTTAGTATATCAAACTACCAGCTGCATTGCTAGCAATGTACTTGGTTAGGTGGTCAGGTGGCAAACTATCGTGCTGAATTCTAAGTGTAGGCAGGGTTACCATTCCATTTTCAAATTTATATATATATTGAAGGTAGCAGTGCAATAAAAAAAATATTATCATACTATAAGAAATATATGTCATAGTCATTGTGAATATTGCTACGTGATCGTCGGGCAATCTGATAATACTTTGGATGGTGTGCGGAAAAAGAAACAAACGCGTGATAAGCGCCGTGACACGCGCTCTGTTAGGACGTCATGTAAATCAATATACGAGGGTATTATTGTTATTGAAAGACGGGCTTTTTCAGGCAAAATATCCTGTGACACTGCGACCTTTTCATGATCTTTTGTGATCGCCCTTTTTTCAAAGTTCGCTGCTAATTCTTATCAATGATAGGAACGTTTCTTTTAGCGACGTTTTTATCTCCTCAGGATATACAGTGTGTTTTCCGAAAGAGATATCGTTTATATATGAGTGGGTTATAGTCACACATTAAGTGCTGCGGCGTTTCTTCCTCACTGTGACCAAATCTGCAAACGCTTATTGTATGTGGAGGGTAAGGTTATAATCGATGTAATTGTAGCATGTAAATTTGATATAATGAACGTCGCAAAAAAAAATGTATTACTCAAAATTTTTTTATACGACAAAGGTAGTGATGTATACTCTGTTTCGTCCATATCTATAGGCGACGGTTACCACTTTCCATCAGGTAGGCCGTTAGCTTGTGTGCCATTCTAAGTTGTATAAAAAAAGGTGGTACCAAAATTCTACCAAAGCGGTAATTGTTATCCTTAGTAATATCATAAATATAAGAATGAGTTTATTTGTTTGTTACAAACAATCTGTTCACGCTTTAACGGCTTAAGCAATTACTATCAAATTAGGTATACATGTACTATGTGGAATGGAAAAGGTTGTAGGCTACTTTTTCTCCCGGTTAATAAACGACCACTCGCACGAAGTCGTGATAAAAATATATGGGTTTCGGAAATTTGTTTGTGTTCATCGATTTTTGATACTGATTGTACCTAGTATTAAATGTGGATTGATGTGATGGTACACATGAGGGCGCGATGCTGCTCTGTGTGTATAGTA